TTTTCTTTGCTGTGCAACTCACATGTCGTCACATGCCACTGTGTCACTAGAAGGCGGTCCACCATTCTGTCATGACTGACATTGGACATGAACAAATAAAATGATGACATTTCAAGTCAACCGAGCCAGGTCCTCAACATACCTTCGACTTGCTGCACCTGTGCTGGAAGGCAAGGATGGCTCGTCGTGTTCTGTCATTTGTTGATAGCGCATGTATACCTTTAAGGTATTAACTTTTTGGCTGCGGGCGGATTCACTCAGCGATTCTGAGTCTGATCCATGGTTTCCGAGTATTTTTATATCGTGACCCTGTTTCTTTCTCTGAATCTGATATCATGGCAGGGTTTCCTGGTTTTTGCCAACCACCGATCAATGGCCCTTTGTGGATCAAATGGGCCTTCATACCCTCAGAGGGAGCACATCAAGTAGTTGCCGCACTCAACTTGTTACCACACTCAACTAGTAACTAGCCTTCACACTAACCGTCAACTTGCCGCACTCACAGTCAGATCAGATCAAATGTCATTTGCGGATCCGATCAGATTCTGTCTTCAGCCGATGAGAAGATTCAAATTCAAGCTTCTCAACCCTCAGATTCAAGTCAGATTCAATTTTTCTGCCTGCGTGCCCTCCAACTCCATAGCGGTGGCTTTGCTGCCAGAGAAGTACTTGAAGATCGGCTTGCAGCTGGATCGTGCTGGCCAGCAAACTTTGTTCCTGTTGTACCTTTGCTGCAAGTGGACACATGATGACACATGAGTGGCCAACTGATATCATTCATTGGCAAATTGTCATGGATTCCGCAGCGCAAACATTTCAAGGTGGAAACTTGATCCTGATCTGTGTGATAAGGCGTAGCTTGGAACAACTTATTTTTTGATATCCCATGCATTGCAGCAGGGTTGCGCTTGTGTGCAAGCTTCCGTCAACATAGTTGCGCACGAGTTGTGGTGTAGTGGAACTGGATCTGAGGATTATTGAATTGGAGAGCGGCCGCGTGTACAACTATGGCGGGCGCTTGCACTGGAAATACGTGGAGCGTGCCTCGCTGGCCACGAAAGGTCGCCATTCTCGCTTGGCCCATCAAAGGGATGAGAACGAGAGCTGCTTGGTTCACATTAAGATTTCAAACGCATGCCCATGGTCTCATCATTCTGATCAGGTTGCGTTTTCATGCCACTAAGGCCCAGCCCCACCTTCCAAATGGCAGCGTCGTTGACCGTCCTCAAGACATCATCTTTGAAGTGGCGGACAACATTTCAGTTCAGTGCAACAATTTGTGTTGCATGCTGGAGTGTCTTGCTTGCGCTTATTGATTTTCAATTAACCTTGACTTACTTGCTTGTGCACTTTCTTGTCATTTGTTGATTGTTGACTGACACATACTTACATGGCTATTCCTGCTGAGAACCCACATGCCCAGGAGCGAGGAACATGACCGTGCCGCCGTTGATCGACCCATCTTGAAGCACTGCGGCTTGGTGGCCAGGGTGCGGGATAGCGATGCTTGGCTGCATTTTGTTTGTGAGTCTTGGGGTGCGTGTTCGGTGTCTGTCTTGAATGTTTTGCGGGGTCTTGAACCATTGATTCAGCATCTTAGGCGCTCCAGAATCCCTACACTGCTCGCGTTATGTGGCGGTTGGTCGGGTTCTCATTTTATAAAGCAGCAGCCTGAAAGATTCCATTTTATTAAATAAAAATTTTTCCTGATAAAATGAAATCCCTCACCCCAGAGACCTCCACAAGGGGGATTCCACTTACACAGCAAAAAGCTCTTGTTTCTCGCTCAAGCAAAGGGCTACGGTACATAGCCCAGGTGTAATGCATGAGCCTTCACAAGACATCAAGAAAGCTGTGCATGTTTCTTCGCTCTCCCCTCCCAACATTATTGTTAGGTCTTCAGGGAACAGCGCAGCATACAAAAGCCGCCAAACTCAAGCCCTTCGCAGTTCGGGCATCGTGAGGTAACTCTAAGCTGAACGAGCTTCTAAACAAATCAAACGAAAGCACCCGGCCATTCACCCAGCAAGGAGAATAATGGTGCCTGACACACTATGGCCATCTCCTGGAGAGAAAGATGCATCGACCAATACCTCCAGTGTGCCTTCATGACGAGGTTGAGCTCTCTGAAGATCTGGGCCAACATCCACTCCACCGTGAAGCGCGGCTTCTTCACCGCATTCTGGGCCATCTTCATTACGGCCCATGAGAGGTCAGGCCGGGTCTTGCCCGATAGCCACAAGAGCTCACCAGTCACCTTTTGAGCTTCCCGAACCTTTGGGAGTGACACTGCCTCCTCTTCTTCCTTCTCTTCTGGCACTCGAATGAATGAGTACGCTTGAGCAGCTGGACGCCGGTCGATGACTTCACGGGCATAGCATCCCTGATGGAGAAAATACGAACCATCTTGGAGTCTCTGGATCTCAATGCCCAAGAACCTCATGGAGCTGCCTCCTATGGTAGCATACTCAGGAGGCGAGGTAGACCAACGGCTTTGAATGGTGCTCGACGCGGCCTCTCTAACCTTCTTGGGACCCACCATGAGCACGTCGTCCACATAAACGATCATGTGGCCAAGCACCCTTCCCCAGACCTTGGTGTCTTTGTCATGGGGCTCAGAGATCTCTTGAATTGCCCACAAGTTGGGATCCTCCATCGGCCGGAAAGAGAAGCTCTGCATCTTGTGGCCTTCTCCTTCATCTCTTTCATGCGCCACCGAACCCACCATGTTCTGCAGCTCAGAGTCTCGGAAGGTGCTCCAGTCCTTTGGCGATGTCACCAACCCATACATAGCTGATGTAACCAGCCAGTGCTCGCCTGGTTGAGCCAGCTGTGCTTCTTCTAATATCTTGGGGGGGTTGGCAATTACTGTCTCACCCCCTTTGGTGCTAGCAAAAACGCTGACTTGACATCCAGCGACAAGCACTCCCACTGTCGAAGAGCTGCGAGGCGAAGCGTAGATCTCAATTGGGTCGAGTCAGCGCCCGTGGCATAGACTTCGTGCCTCCATGTAGTTTCTGCAGCAGACGATTCTGGATCGTCTTCTCCCATCACCTGCTTTGCGGGTGAAGACTCACTCCCATTCCTGGAATCAGCTCTGCACGCTCACCATTCTTCCGGGCCTCCGCCATGATCTCACGAGTCTGCTCCTCCGTGATCCGCTTGATCGCTCTATTGTTGTCGAAGTTCTCAATCTCAGCGCGAAGCGACGGGATCCACAAGCGTAGAGACTTTCTCACTTCATTCAGGCTGATTGTTCTTGTTTGAAGAAAGATCTCTTCATCCTCCCCCGTGACATGGAGAGCATCTGCCTCCAGACGCTTGCAGGACACGGCTAGATCTTGAACTGTCCTCTCGAGCTTCTCATTCTCGCAGTCCAGGTCACAGATGTGTGCGACCATCCCATCTTCGCCACTGAGGTTCGCTTCCAAGCCGATCTTGAAGCTCCTCAACCGACAGCGATGACAGGGCTGTTTTCTCATACAGTCTTCTCTTTGGAACTGCCGCCCCGCCCAGGATGGAAGCTGGTTCTGGTCTTTCCTTCACGTTGACGACGTCCTCCAAGGATGGTGGATCTTCGGCCTGGACCAGGTCATCCGTTCTGACACACGGATTCTGCTGTCCATCGACCAGTCGGGACCACGCGAGCGATCAACTCATCCGGGACCTCAGGCCACATTTCTCGCAAGTCCTTGAGCCACTTCCAGACATTGGGCGCTAGATCTCCTGGATCTCCTGCTTTCAAAGCTGCCACCCTCAACTTCTCCAACTCCTCAATAAGATGATTGGCAGTCTTGATGGTCACCGTGGGACAACCCGACTCCAGCAAAACCTCCACCGGCTCACCAGAATGGTCCCACATCTCAAAGCTGTCACCCTCCCACCTCACCTTGTAGCCCATACGCACCACTTTGCCCAAAAGAACTATCGTTTGGGTCTCAAAGTCCGTGATGAGGGTGCCAGTTGATTCCACCTGTCGTAAGGTGGTGACCCCAGCCGCCAACTCCACCTTGATCGGGATGGCCTCTTCGAATTCCTTCTTTGACCTCGCAGGCCTCAAGACATGGGTTGCACCCCCATCCAACAATGCTCTGCCATTCGCCTCCGTGGTGTTGACAGATCGCATACACAAGGCTTTCACCGAGGGACGAAGCGATTTCAAGAGTTGCACTGCTTCCTTGTGACCCCCACCCAAGGCTTCACCAGGCTGAGTTCCATGACCTCCATCGCTTCCTTTGGCGCTTCCATCCTTGGACTTGGCATCCTCTCCAATCTCCTTCTTCACCTTTGGGACATCCTTCACTGGACATTCTGGCTTCATATGTTGGGTCGAACCACAAGACCAACACCGGCCCTGCTTGGATATTCCAATTCCATTCATGAGGAAATGGACACTTTTGACCCTTTTTGCAGCCATTGTCGGAGAGAAAGTAGCGGCAGACTGGTTTGTCGGATGCTGCCCCCTTTTGGTCCCCTTTGCCATTCTTTCCTTCGGACTTGTCATTCTTGGCCTCCTTGGCGTCTTTGGTGCCCTTTCCTTCACCATTCTTCTTGATCTTGTCCCGGCCATCTCGCGGCTTGCCCTCATCTTTGGTTCCACCATTGTCTCCATCCAAGGCCTTGACCTTTACGGTGTCCTTGATGGGGGCCATTGATCCTCCATGGAAAGCCGCTTCTCCTTCTGCCATCAGGGACTCAGCGAACCGCCACATTCAAGACCTCATCCCACCAAAGTGAAGAAGGGCCGATGGTTGTCAACCAATCTCCAGCGATCATGGACCGATTTCTGATTCCGAAAGCTCCTGCAGAGTGGGTAGTTCAACTGCCCTGACTGTCTCCTGTTGGGCCATGAGCCCTCCCAACCACGCCGGGATGCTGTCGGGATGTCCTCCACCTGGAGCACCTGGGCCACAACCTGGAGCGCCAGGAAAGCCACCGCCTGGAGCACCTGGAAAACCGCCACCCAAAGCCCTGGAAAACCGCCACCTGGGAGCACCCGCCTGGTCTTCCTCCACTCCTCCACCATGAGGGAAACTGCCTGAACAGCTGCCACCCAGACCACTCCCCAGTGCACCCACTGACGAGAGACCACGATCGTGCCCTCCAAGACCATGATGGCCACCTCCATGACGACCACCACCTCCAGTCCCCGCAAAACCTCCTCTTTGGCTTCCCTCTTGAGAAGTTCTGTCCGCAGGATGTTGACCTCCACGTCCATTGGAGCTCGACTCTTGAGGAACCGAAGAACTTGGCCCCCGAGACTGATCTGGCTGATCAGGTTGACTGGAAAGACCTTGTCCTGCACCAGGTTGCCCTCCAACTGTGCCACCCTGGAGCCCCCGCGACATGTAGCCCTTCCCACACCCTTGAGTTAGCGATGGCTGTTGAGGCCATTGACCCCCGAAACCATGCCTTGCCAAAGTCTTCGAAGCTTCCACCATGCCCTGCATGACATCTCCTGAAGTCGCCGAGACACGATTGAACACTTCCATAAGACTTGCACGTGGTCCCCCCAAGTGCCCATGAAGACCTCCCTGATCGCCTGAAAGACCATGAACAGCACCCCGCCCTCCACAATCTCCGCCAGACGACAGCGGTCCCAGCAGCCTTTTTGCTCACCATGCCCTGAAGACACCCACGAAGACCGCAATGCCTCAAGCAGTGAATCCATCATGTTCTTCTCTCTTTGTTGACCTTCTGACATCATGCCATACACCCACGGAGGTGGATGATTGAAAGCTAGTGATGGATTGCCCCACCCATGGTTTCCTTGTCCAGCTGCCCAAGATTCACGCTCGGTCCAGAGTCTTGCATTTTCCGACATCAGGCCGCGCAAGAACGTACGCAATGCCTCCACCCCTTCCTTTGGCGGCGACAAGGGAGCAACTCAGGTGACTCTACTGGCAAGTCAGCTGGACGTAGAGCCCGCAAAACAGCTTCATCTTGGAACCTTTCGGACCAGAATGGATTCACCGCAGCTGGTCCTAGCACCACAGGAGGCCCACTAGGTCGCATCACCCCGTCACTAGGGCCTGCATCCTCAATGGCTTTGAGGCCACCAGATTCCGGAGTTCTCTCCGATGCTTCCTCGCTCATGAGGCCCTCTACGATACCCAAAAGTGCCTAGCGCACCCTTGGGCTCATAACCTACACAGCAAAAAGCTCTTGTTTCTCGCGCAAGCAAAGGGCTGCGGTACATAGCCCAGGTGTAACGCGTGAGCCTTCACAAGACATCAAGAAAGCTGCGCATGTTTCTTCGCTCTAATGACACATGACCTGCAAAACCCTACACTTCAACCCCACCCAGCTTTTAGCGTAGCGTCTCTCCACGCTGTTCTATCCATTTGTCTACATATCTGTCTATCGATCTATCTACCTATCTATTTATCTATCTATTCTTATCTTATCTAATCCAATCCAATCCAATCCAACCTAACCTAATCTAATCTAATCTATCTATCTATCTATCTATCTCTCTCTATCTCCACTTCACAAAGTGCTGCACCTGCCACGAAATTTGCACTTCAAGGTCCACAAAGTACTGCACCTACCACTAAATCAGCACTGCGCAAAGTACTGCGCCTACGACGAAAACTACACTTCGAGGTCCACAAAGTACTGCGCTTGCCACGAAATTTGCACTTCAAGGCCCGCAAAGTACTGCGCCTGCTACGAAAGCTGCGCTTCAAAGACCGCACAGTACTGCGCCTGCCATGAAATCTGCACTTCAAGGTCCAAAGTACGGCGCAACGAAGCGCAAACAATCAACAAAATAAGAAAGTTCAAACAAATATCCGCAGGCGTTGGCGGCAGTCAGCTTCCAATCTCACTAATCAGGGAGGAGTCACGGAAGACAAGTGATCACTGACACTTCCCTGTTAAGGGTCTA